CCAGAGGCTGGATGCGATCCCCATGCGGCGCGCAAGATTGACGAGTTCGGCCGCCACCTGCCTGTGAGCCAGGACCCTGGACTGCAGAACTGCGGCGGCGCACCCCAGCGCGGCCTGGCCCGCGCGCAGCCGCAAGATGGCCCGCGCCACCTTCTCGGCGGAGTACGGGACCTCGGGCGCGTGCAAACCCGACCCCGCTTGGTCTGGGTCACGCTAAGAGTCCCGACATAGCCCCGCACGCACGAACGAGCCCCAAGTCCTGCTCGCGCCGAAGGGCCGCCTCTGGATCCCTTGGGGAGTCGTTTTTCGCGCGCCCCTCAAGGTCCTCCACCAGCACTCACAGCATCTGTTCCCTGCCGAGGGAGACCCTGGAGTCCGCGTCCAGCAGGGCCACCTGGAACGACGAGCCGGCCTTGAGCCACTTCGAGAGGCTCCTCTCCGCCGCCCCAGGGTCGCTTTCCGACAGCGAGGCATACTTCTGGAACGCCGCCCTCCGGGACCTCCACGCCTCTTCTGTGGCCGCGTGCTTGAAGTCCTCAAACGACACGAAGTCCCTTGGCGACGGCCGCCCAGGCTGCCGCGAGTGGCGGCTCGGGACGCAGACCGCGACCGCCCCCGCAGAATGGCCCGCGAACACCACTAGGGTGTCCCGGCACCACGCTGCGCAGTCTAGCATCTGCCTTCGGAGTTTGCGCGATGCTGTGCCGCCCGCTGACGGCGGCCCAAGTTCCGGGCAGCGCCGCAAGGGGGCGACCAGCGCCGCGAGGCGCTCCAGAGCCGGGGCTATAGCCTGAAGGGCATCGTCCCACTCTGCCGTTGACAGCCAAGCCACTCGCCCCACGACCGCCTGGTACTCGAACTGTAGCGTGATTGGCATCGTTCCCAACACAAGGCGGTGATCGGATTCCGCGACAAACTCCAGGACCCGCACCGCCAGGGGCACGAGGGGGAGGGCCACGAACACGTCAATCGCGGTGCCTAAGGCGTGGATTGGGGTTCGCGGCTTCCGGAGGCTCAACCCCGCCTCCGATACGGTGGCCTCCACCGCTCGGTCCCCCGCCGGCTGACGGCAGTGCGAGCACCGGCAGCCGCTGCTGTGGTCCAAGAACCCCGCCCAATGCACGTTCCCATCCCCCACGAGGACGCTCCACGCTGCAGGGGCGGCCTCCGCCAGCTCCTGGTGGATCCTGACCACCTCCTGCCAAGTTTGCGCATCACCTCCGGGGGCCGCGTAGAAACCGCACACGTGCACCACAGGGCCCGCCGGGCCCGCGCCAGGGTCGCGGATCTGCAACGTGTGCCAGCGCCCCCGGCTGTGCTCCTCCAGCGTGCAGACAGACCTCACGATCTCCGCCTGGACGAAAAAACCCACCGAGGCATAGAACGACGTCTGCCGCCCGATCCACACGTACGGGAAGTCGCCGGGGAGCCGCGCTCCGGGTGGGAACCGCGCCCCTGGCAGTACGCAAACGTGCACACCTCGCGCTGTAGCGCGGCTGTGATACCCCATAGCCGCTAGTAGAGCACCTCATCCGTGCCGAGGCACGCCAGGCCCGCCTTACCCGGGGTAAGGGTAGCGATGCGCAACTCGTGGGTCGACGGCGCCACGTTCGGTACGGCAGCGGCCATGGCAGCGGCATTGACGCGGTCGCCCAGGGCGTATGGAGAGATCACAGGTGTCGTACTCACCCCTTGTCCCCGCAACGCCGGAGCCGCTTCCCTCCGTAGGAAGGTCCCAATCTCCACCGGGAAGGCCGCCAGCGCCGTCGCCCCGGGAGCCTGGCCATGGGCTGGTATGGTGACCTCCAGGGCCAGTAACGCCTGGACATCCTTAATCAGGGCTGCCCTCTCATGTCGTCTGGGATTGGCCGCTTGCCAACTGTGCAAGCATGCCCGCAGAACGTCCATCCGCCCGTCGGCGTCGCCGCGTGGCAGGGGGCGCGGCCGTCGCGCGCTCACCAGGCAACGCGCGGTGGCGCTATCGCCCGCGCTTGGCGGGCCGAGGGGGCCTTGAGCCTTGAGCCAAAATGGCTCCTCCTCCTCCTCCTCCTCCTCCTCCTCCTCCTCCTCCTTCCTCCTCCTCCCTCCTCCTCTCTCCTCATCATCATCATCATCATCATCATCCTCATCATCATCACAATCTCATCATCATCATCACATCATCATCATTCATCACATCATCATCATCATCATCATCCATCATCAGCATCATCATGATCATACATCATCATCATCATCATCAATCATCATCCATCATCATCATCATCATCATCATCATCATCACCATCATCATCATCATCATCATCATCATCATCATCATCATCATCTCATCATCATCATCATCATCATCATCCACCTCCTCCTCCTCCTCCTCTCTTCCTCCCCTCCTCCTCCTCTGCCTCCTCCTCATCATCATCATCATCATCAATCATCATCATCATCATCATCATCATCATATCATCATCATCATCATCATCATCAATCATCATCATCATCTCATCTCATCATCATCATCATCCATCATGCACCTCCTCCTCCTCCTCCCTCCTCCTTCCTCCTCCTCCTCCTCCTCTTATGTACTCCTCCTCTCCTCCTGTCGGCATGCCCGCTGCCCCGCTCCTTCCTCCTCCTCCATCCTCCTCCTCCTTCCTCCTCCTCCTCCTCCTCCTCCTCCTCCTCCTCATCCTCCTCCTCCTCCTCCTCCTCTCCTCCTCCTCCTCCTCCTCCTCCTCCTCCTCCTCCTCCTCCTCCTCCTCCTCGCTCCTTTTCCTCTTCATTCTTCCTCCCCTCCTCCTACTCCTCCTCCCCCTCCTCCGCCTCCTCTTCCTCTTCCTCCTCCGCCTCCTCCTCATTATCTTCCTTCTCCTCCTGCGCCTCAACCTATTATATGTTTTATTCCCAACCATCCTGTGGTGTTGGGTCCTCGTTTTGAAGAGACGGTGCCCCGCGTTCTCCTTCCTTCCTTCCTTCCTTCCTCCCGCTGCTTCCTCCCCCCTCCCATCATCATCATCATCATCAACACCCAATTCGGCGCACCCCTCACACGTTTCGTGGCTCCATAGGGACCTCCACCGAAGGCCCCAGTGGCCGCGGCCGCATGCGTCACCCACACCCATTTCGGCACACCCCTCACAACGCTTCGTTCTTCCATAGAGCTCCACCGAAGGCCCCAGTGCCCGCGGCCGCATGTGCTTCACCCACACCCATAATTCGCACACCCCCTCACCGTTTCGTGGCCCCATAGGGAGCTCCACCGAAGGCCCCAGTGCCCGCGCCCGCATGCGTCACCCACACCCAATTCGGCACACCCCTCACACGTTTCGTGTCTCCATAGGGAGCTCCACCGAAGGCCCCAGTGCCCGCGCCCGCATGCGTCACCCACACCCATTTCGGCACACCCCTCCCACGTTTCGTGGCTCCATAGGGAGCTCCACCGAAGGCCCCAGTGCCCGCGCCCGCATGCGTCACCCACACCCATTTCGGCACACCCCTCACACGTTTCGTGGCTCCATAGGGAGCTCCACCGAAGGCCCCAGTTCCCGCGGCCGCATGCGTCACCCACACCCATTTCGGCACACCCCTCACACGCTTCGTGGCTCCATAGGGAGCTCCACCGAAGGCCCCAGTGCCCGCGGCCGCATGCGTCCCCCACACCCATTTCGGCACACCCCTCACACTTTTCGTGGCTCCATAGGGAGCTCCACCGAAGGCCCCAGTGCCCGCGGCCGCATGCGTCCCCCACACCCATTTCGGCACACCCCTCACACGTTTCGTGGCTCCATAGGGACCTCCACCGAGGGCCCCTGTGCCCGCGGCCGCATGCGTCCCCCACACCCATTTCGGCACACCCCTCACACGCTT